GAGAGAGATTCGGAAAGTTTGTTTCCAAACACACGTCACAAGTTTGTGTTAGGACTCGGCTCGTCACGTTCTGAGTAACATTGTAGCCCCAGCCTTTGATCCGCTCCCTTCGAAGGGCCGCCATGGGCGGTCCTCTTCATATGCTGCGGGCGGACACGGTTAAATTCGTGTTTAATATTTTCCAAAAGACTTTTCTAAAGTCTAACAAATTGGGTGTCTACGGATCGCTTGTCAGCTGAGTAATCATATGCTCAGCCCCAGCCTTCTGAGCTCGCTCCTTCCGAAGGGCCGCATGGCGGTCTCTCATAATGCTGCCGGGGGACACGGTTTAAATTCTTGTTTTAATAGATTTCATAAAGATTTTTCTGAAAAGTCCAAAATTGGCGTGTCCGGACTCCGCTTGTCACGCTTGAGTAACATAATGTTCAGCCCCAGCTTCTGGGGCTAACTGCTGCTTTGCTGGGCGCAATGCTGTGCCGGGGGGGGGGGCACCGGCGGGCCGCGGCAGCTAGCCTGCTTGCTGGGCGGGCAATGCCTGGTGCCGGGGGGGTGGGGCGCTGGCGGGCGCCATGGGTCATCTCTCATATGCTGAGGTGCCACACCATTAAGACTAGTGTGAATGTACGAAAAGTTTGTCAAGTCCACAGTTGGTGGTCTACGGACTCGGCTCATCACGCTGAGTAAATATGTCAGCCCCAGCCTTCTGATGTGCCCCTTCCTGAAGGGCACATGGGCGGTCTCTCATATGCTGCCGCGGGGTCTCTCATACGCTGAGTAACATAAGTCAGCCCAGGCTTCTAATCACTCCTTTGGAAGGATGCCTCAAATCGTCTCCGAGGCCGCTTTGCTGCGACGAAAAAATTCTTGTCAAAGTCCACAAATTGGTGTCTACGGACTCGGCTCATCACGCTGAGTAACATATGTAGCCAGCCTTCTGAGGGCTAGCTCTGCTTGCTGGTGCCACATACTCACAGGGGGGGGGGGCGCCGGCGGGCCACGCGGGCGTCTAGCTCTGCTTGCTGGGCGCAATGCTGTGCTGGGGGGGCGGGGCGCGGCGGGGTCCCCGGCATCCTAACTTGCTTGGTGGGCGCAATGCCTGTGCCAGGGGGGGGTGGGGCGCCGGCGGGTGCCGCCATGGTGTCTCTCATATGCTTGGGTGCCACACCATTAAGACTAGTGGAATGTCCACATACGAAAAGTTTGTCCAAAGTCCAACAAGTTTGGTGTTAAGGACTCGGCTTCGTCACGCTGAGTAAATATGTCAGCCCCAGCCTTCTTGAGTCGCTCCTTCCGAAGGCCGCATGGTCATCTCTCAACTACGCTGAGGTGCCACACCATTAAGACTAGTTGAAATGTCACAAACGAAAAAGTTTGTCAAGTCCACAAGTTTGGGTCTACGGATCGGCCTCATCACGCTGAGTAACATATGTCGCCCAGCCTTACTGGAGTCGCTCCTTCCGAAGGGCCGCCATGGGCGGTCTCTCAATGCTGCCAGGTGGACACGGGTTAAATTCTGTGTTTTTAATACTTTCCCAAAAATTTTCTCGAAAGTCCACAAATTGGTGTCTACGGATCGCTTGTCACGCTGAGGTAACATATGTCTGCCCAGGCATCTTAAGTCATCTTCGAAGGGATCCGTCGTTAAACGTCTCCGAGGCCCGCTTGCTGGCGACGGAAAAATTTTGTCAAAAGTCACAAATTGGGTGTCTACCGGACTCGGCCGTCAACGCCATGAGTAAACATATGTCGCCCCACCTTCTGGGGCTAAGCTCTGCTTGCCTGGGTGAAATGCCTGTGTCGGGGGGGGGGGGGGGGCGCGGCGGGCCACCGGGCAGCTAGCTCTGCTGCTGGGCGCAATGCTGTGTGGGGGAGGCGGGTGCGGTGGGCCGCCGGGCGGCTAGCTCTGCTTGGTGGGTGCAATGCCTGTGCAGGGGGGGGGTGGGGCCGCCGGCGGCCCGCCATGGTCATCTCTCATATGCTGAGGTGACACCCATTAAGACTGTGTGAATGTCACAACGAAAAGTTTGTCCAAAGTCCCACAAGTTGGTGTCTACGGACCGCTCGTCACGCCTGAGTACATATGTCAGCCCCGCCTTCTGAGTCGCTCCATTCCGCATGGCCGCCTGGCGGTCTCCATATGCTGCCGGGGGACACGGTTAATTTCTGTGTTTTATATTCCAAAAGATTTTCTCAAAAGTCTACAAATTGGGTGGTCTACGGACTGGCTTGTCACGCTGAGTAAACATATGTCAGCCAGCCTTCTGAGTCGTCTTCCGAAGGGCCGCCATGGGCGGTTCTCATATGCTGCGGGGGAACGGTTAAATTTTCTGGTTTTTAAATAATTTCAAAAGATTTCCTCAAAAAAGTCCACAAATTGGGTGTTACGGACTCGGCTTGTCACGCCTGAGTACATATGTGCCCCAGCCTTCTGGGCTAACTCTGCTTGCCTGGGGCGCATGCTGTGCCGGGGGGGGGGGGGGCACGGCGGGCCCGCCGGCAGCTAGCTCTGCTTGCGGGCGTCAATGCCCTGTGCGGGGGGGGTGGGGCGCTGCGGGCGCCAGGGTCCATCTCTCATATGCTAGGTGCCACACCATTAAGACTAGTGTGAATGTCACAACGGAAAAGTTTTTGTCCAAAGTCCACAAGTTTGGTGTCTACGGAACTCGGCTCATTCACGCTGAGTAACATATGTCACCCCAGCCTTCTGAGTTGTCTCCTTCGAAGGGCCACCATGGCGGTCTCTCAGTATGTGCCCGGGGTCCTCTCATACGCTGAGTAACATAATCAGCCCAGGCTTCTAAGTCACTCCTTCGGAAGGATGCTTCATTAAACGTCTCGAGGCCCGC